CTGCAAGCTTCTCCTCCACGAACGCCGTTGTCGGCGAAGAGGGCATCCTTGCTCCGGACGGACCTGCGTATAAGGCACTCATCTTTGCCAACCAGACAAAGTTGACGCCGGAGATGGCGGAGCGAACGAAAGTGTTTGCGGAAGCAGGACTGCCGATCTTCGTTGTTGGAAGCGCGGATTTCCAGAGCGTTGGTTCAGACGGGGCCGCATCCGTTCCGGACATCATGGCTCAGGTTCTTATGGTGGAGGGCGTACAGGTACTTGCATCCGTGGAGGAGGTACCAGCTGCTCTTGCTGCTCTCAACATCCGGCCTCGGGTCATGTTCTTGAAAGATGATGCTGTTGAGAAGTGGTATTCCTTCTCGCGAAGCACAGAGGATGCGGAGGTTGTGTTCTTGTATAACGACGGGGAGAAATCCACGACTACGAATGTTAGCTTCCTCGATATGGCGGGCAGGACACCGTACGTTCTCGATGCCTGGAAGGGCTCGGCATCACCACATTTGCAGTACGTCGTCGAGGAGAACGACATCGTCGTGCCGGTGACGCTCGTAGCAAACCAGACTACCATACTCGCCTTCTCCAACCAGGCCTCATTCGCAGATGATGAAAACACCAGACCCTTCCTGCCTCCTCCGCCAAGCACTCAGATAATATCAACCTCTGATCCCCTCCAAGGCTTCTTCTATACCAGGTCCCGAGACCCCAACACAAATGCCACGGCCAGCAACCACCGCATCACAGCACACCTCGCCCCCGGTACCACGAAAATCACCCTCTCCACCGGTAAAACCCTAACTTTCAACACCTCTCAACTCCCAGAAGCAACAACCCTCCACGCATGGAATATCACAGTCAATGACTGGCGCGGCAGCAACGACTCCCTCTCCATGGAAACCGCCATCACACCTTACCGGTTCCTCAACAGCCCGCTAGCGCCCTGGAAAGATCTAGACCCCGTGAACCTGGCCAACACAAGCGGCACAGCAGACTACGAAGCCGCCTTCCAAACCCCATTCTATCCTACCGCGGTACAGCGCATAGGAGCCCATCTCCACCTAGGCGCCATCACGGACGCAACGGCACTCTGGGTCAACGACGAGAGAATCGTTCTCGACGTGAACAGCTCGCCTGACGTTGTGGTGGACATCACAAACTACCTGAATCCCTCCGAGGGCGCCGACAACGTGGTCATGGTAGAAGTTGCCTCAACGTTGTATAACCGCGTCAGAGCTGAGCAGGATAGCATCATGACGTCTGGTGGCGCTGCTTCTGTTGCGGGTGCGAATTACTTCAAGGCTCATCCGGCTGAAGAGTATGGACTCAAGGGGCCGGTGTCAGTTCAATGGGTCGAGGTTGTCGACGTTCTCTGAAGCAGAATTGTCAAACGTCTGAACAAACGAAGTGTGGTTTAGCCTCACTTTCTAGTGGCTATTTCACTGCTTTAAGGCACGCTCCGAATTCTGAAGCCGACTGCATCTTTTCTTTTCTTGTATAATATTTCTCTTCTGTGAATTGCACTTGTCCGCATTCGCAGGCAAACTCATGAGCTACAACTAATTATCGCTGAATTTGAAGATTAGCCTAGTAGATCTTACATACGGGTATCCGGAATATGATGTTTCGACGTCTTTCTGGTTACTTTCATCTCGTAGCCCACACAAGTCACATCAAACTTCGAGCTTGCAAGTGTGTGGTCGCGTTGCAGGAGTTGCGACGCCTCATTCACTGCGGATTATGCAGCAACTCAGGGGTAGAGTTTGATTTACGAGAAAGTATGGCAAAGTATCGTCTCCTCTAACCAAATTGCATGGCAGAAGAAAAGCGAAAGCAAAAGCATGGACGGCATGGACCCGAGACAACGCCAATATGATTCGCATTAGCGGTCTTGTAGAGAGATAAAGCAAACTCTCTTCATTGGATCCTCTCTTTTTCATTCTCGTAATCGCCGCACGGGGCACAGACATGGTGGTCGCACGTCGTTGAAAATCAGGGGGGTTCAGGGTGTTTCGCGCCAGAAGCCTTGCATGTGAAGAAACGTCGCTGTCGCGTCGCAGACTCGCGGCGGCTGTCCTCCGCTCCGGTACTCCATAGACCGGTGGGCTGGCGTGCGTTTGCTCCCATATGCGCTAGGCGGGCGGCTGCTGGTCCCCGGAAGGGAGCCCTGAAGCGCAAGGTCAGGGCACGTCGTCAGCAAGGGATATTGGATGGATTTTGGCTTGATATGGGCGGTCGCGAGCGATAGCACGGGCAGCGGATGGCGTGTTGATTCGTCTAGAACGTTGAGCAATTAGCAGGGCCAAGGAGCGGTCTGGCTCTTCTCAATCTTATTGCGCCTGGTTCAAGCGGCTTCGCAATCAAGGGTACGGGGTCGTGGAGGTCAAGGGCTCGCTGAGATCGCTACGAGAAAAAGCGGACACGAATTGTGGCGGTTGGCGATGCTTGTCACTCTTTTTCCCAGTCGGAGAATCGTGGGTCAAGGGATCTGCTTGCTCTGAGTTGTCCTCCCGGACTGATGCCGATCACCACTTCGATGGAAAGGATATCTGCGGGCGTAAGATTGCTATTCGGGAGATGCGCGTAGACGAGCTCGGGGACCGAAAGCTTGAATGTCGAATCTGAGCGTGAGCAACGCGCCAATTTTCGCAGCCTCTGTATGGTTCGCTGGTGTGCGGCAGAGCATGACGACATGCTGGCAAGTTTCTAGACGCGTAGTTTGACGGTGGACCAACTGGGTGCTAGATAACTTCGATCATTCGACGCCGATCGAGTTTTCCGACCGGCCTAGAATTTCTGGAATGGTCCTTGAGGTCCTATTGATTTAGGTTGCTACTGACACAGCCACTGAAGAGTTGCGATGAACTGCGGCTTTCGACGATGACCCTGATTTTCTTTGCGACTGTCACTGCCAAATGCTAATCGACAACGAAGAAGTCGTGTAGCTATTTTGGGAGCCCAACACCATTAATTTGAAGAAAACTTTTCGGTGGCTGCAGCCATTATGGGTGAGTAGAGTGCGTGGTACCTGCATTCAGCACTCTTTCAGCGGCGAGCGATGTACCGTCCGCTACCACTGGAATGGGCAATGGCGGTGGTGGCAATCGGCTTCAGGGCAAGCTTGAGAGAAAACGGACAGGCGGAAGTCTCAAGAGGGCAAGCCGGAGAGTGACATGGTGATCATTTCGGGTTGGTGTGTTGTGTGCTGTGTGTCGCACTGCGTCGGAACCCTTCTGACACTAAGGCAGCTAGAGACGTGGGAAAAGAGAGATTTTCAGGAGGGTCGGAATTCCAAGGACGCTAAAAGGCGTTATCGCCGTGATGGTGTTGAGGCGAGATAAGGCATGTCTCAAAGCGTCAAATCGTGGTGGTGAGGTGGTGAGACTGTGAGACTGTAAGGTCTTCGTAGCCTGTGGTGTCAGTACGGGTAAACGAGTCTGGTCAGTGGTGAAACGGCCCAAGGTCCGACGGCAGCCTGTGAATTGCGGCCAGCGATATTGTGTCCTGGAGTCTGAGTGGTTGGTGAGCTACCCTTGCAATTGTCTGATGTTCTGCTGTGGCTGCAGTCATCTCTCTCTTGTCCCATCTGCGAGTGATCCATGACTCTGTGGTATCGTCAATGAGCCCGACCGACTGACTTTCATCTGCTGACTGGAGTGTACGGAGTACTCCATAGCCTGTAGAAAGCTTGACAAGATGACCCTGCGGAGCTTTGAGAGCTCAGTTTGGAGTCGAGAGTCCAGACCGACTCAACGATCCGGGGAGAGAGCAGAAATTCTGAAAACTCTTCTGGACGTTCTGGAGTCAGGGACATTGCAGACGAGGGGGGTTATCATGGATGCAGCGATACCATGGACAATTGGAGGTGAACGAGGTTGGGCTCCGTGTCTGAAGATTCGGCAGACTGTTGGTCGTGGGCCAAATCCAGCGACGTCGGACAGTGACGGCATCAAGCGTTGGAAACAGTGAGCCTCGAAAGATTCGGGGGACGGTGGGCCGAGCTGAGGGTTAGGGGCTCAGCGGCCGGGTCTTGGAGTCTTGGCAGGGGAAAAAACGGGTGAGGAGGACCCGTTTTGCCGTCGTCGAAGGCGGAACATGGAAGGTCCAGGAAAGACGCCGTGTGACGTCAGCCGTGGCGGGTGGGGCCATGTTGGGAGACCATGAGAGTGGGGGTCCACCGTAGCAAGAGGAAAGAACACCCACGCATGTCGCACCTGCACCCGACCGTAGGTCCATAGGCACAAACCGCAATTTGAATGAGAAGGAAGGTGCGTGTTTTGTTGGAGGTGACCCGACGCGAGGAAGGAACCGACTCTGTAAGTTCGAGGTCAGGAGGAAGGGGCCTGAGGAGTCGTCCTTCACGGCCCACCCAGCTGGATGACCTGAGGCACAGAGAACCCTTCCATTGGCAGGCGAATTATGCAGTCCGGAATCCGAGGTGGGTTGGTTGGTTGGTTGATTTGCATGCGTGTTGATGTGACAAGGGCGGGTGACGGCCACTTTTTTGCATCAAAAGATCGAATGAGCCATCCGCTGATTAGCCGCTGCAGACACATGCAGGATTGCCAGACAAGGACGGCAAAATCAGATCAGGGCAAACTTCAAGAGTATCCAGAGGGTGTACTGCCGCTAAGACACACCGGTTCTGCCATGGTTTCCGCTCGTGGAATGGATTTGCGGTAGTCCCTCGTATCGATACCAGTTTGGCCCGGCCTTAGTCTCTTTTCTACCATTGGCAGTTGTTCTCCCGCGCTTCGGGCTTCTGCAAGTCACCGTCGTCCCAGTTAGTGCCAAGTATCTTGCATAACCTCGAGGGAGGACAGGTGTGCTAAGAGCCTAAGAGAAGGTGCTGAGAGCAATCTGTCGTCACTGGTTGGTGCTGGCGCTGGTGACACAATGGTCTCTGGTCTCTTCGGCCCTTTCCACAGTAGATTGGGCATTGGCGACAGGCACGCACTACAGCCATCGGACACCATTTCTGTTGAGGGTGGCTTGCAAACTTGATGCTGCTAAATACCTTACTTAAGGCACTTGGTGGTATTCGCACGGCAGTAAAGTGCAGCAAAGGATGCCGTGCGCCAAAAGTAACGGCCATGTGCGTATGCGCTGGTGGTTTACCCGGCCGCCCGTCTTCATGCCCCTCCCCTGGCGTATACGTATGCCGGCATGACATGGCGATTCGGGCGGCAGCGTGTGTGATCTGCGACCGTCTGTTCGCGGGATCGGGCGAGACGGTTCAGTCGGTTGGTGGCGTCCGTTCGTTGCGACGCAGCGGAGAGCCTCACTATGCGACTGCGTCTCGGTGTCTCAGACGACGGCCACCACTCGGGCCAGGGATGAGGCGTGCGGATGGACAGGCAATACCGCAGTGGAAAGGCACCAAAAGGATCGCGATGACGGGCGATCGTGGGTTCGACCCAGTGGGGGTCTCCCAGTTCATTGTGGTCCAGTATACCATATGGATGCGCAGCTGTAGTCTCCAGATTCTCCCCAGTACCAGTCATCTGCCATTCGACCGGAGAGTCGGAGACAATGTGAAGCTCGAAAGTGACCCATTGTTGGTATGGGGTTCCGATGATGTGTGGCAGGCACATCTCAATAGGGAATTCGATTCGCATAATCTTCTCCATGCGCGCATGTGCGGTGATGGATGTCTATGGGGCATATGACGATGAGGACAATGTGTAAACGACGACGACGAAGACGCTAGCCGCCATTCAGTTTAGAGCTGCCGCGGACCGGCGATGAATATTCGGCGCAAGGGGCGTGATGTGAACAGAGGAAAGCCAAGAAAGACCTTGGTAGTGCGACATATCGATCAATGAGTGATGCTGACTATCTGCAGCTTGCAGTGCACAACAGTGACCACTTTACAATGCAGTGCAGTGCAGTGCAGTAGTTGCCGTGCTGCAAAACACAAAGTTTCGGTCGAGAGCGAAGTAAAAAGGCAACGGGGCTCTGCAATTCAAAGTTAATTGCAATGTTACAGCGAGAAAACCAGCCATGGCCTTATCGCCCATTGCGGTGCTCCCGAGTAAGGTAATCAACTTGACGGAGAGGATATTCAGGGTCCCTCCCTTCCCCCTTTGTGCCTTCCGTCTATAATACCTAGCACGATACGGCAGGAAGCGAGTGGGTGTGGTCGTTGAGAAGGCAGGAAGGTAATTCAAAGCTCCGGGGGAACAACTTCAATCTCTGGACCCCTGGACTCTAGAAGACAGAAGGACCCTTTCTCAGTCCTTGGAAACTAGCGACATCCGTCCCTCACCACCACACAGAGAAGAATAAGAAAAAAAAGGGAGGGGGAAGGAACGAAAGCTTCCTACCCGTGGAAAACAGCTACATCCCAGTGAAGGAGGCGCTCGAGATTCCAAGGTTTCCAGGTTCACGAATTGAATGTTCCCTGCAGCGGCTCTCCTGTCAGATAGCACGGACCCGGTTTTGAGCCCAGTGCCAGCCGGCATATCGCTGTCGCATTCGCTGCCACTGCCACCCTCCGCGGGGGCAGCTTGCCTAAGCTCCCACTCCGAGAAAATGTCACTCAAAAACATGTACAGCTCCTGCTTCAGCTATCGTAAAATACGTATTCAAGGTACTTTTTTCACTTACCTTAGTTCTCAAATTGAGGATTTCTACAAGTTACCTACAGTTCCAGTATATGCTTTGAGCAGCAAACACCAAGGGGAAGAGATTCAACCACCAAGAAATGCCATTGCCATTGCCAAAGCCAGATGGGCCAGATTGATGGCCCCAACATCCAGGTCCAAGGCCCACGCCTAGCTAAAAATGGAGACCCAATTTTTAAATGTTAATGACGAGCAAGCCCCCCAAGCAAGATCATCGCGCGTCGCCCCCATCTTTTTTCTCTGGGCACCGACGTGGCGCCGCGGGTCGAAGCAGCGATTCACAAGCGCCACCACTGGTCAACGTGAACAAGGCTCGGACGTGCAGATAGAATTCTGGAGCCAATTCTTGGAACCGTCACTGTGGTCAAATTCTTGGTTCCCACCCCGTCCCTCTATATTTCATTGAGCTCAAACACCACCCCCGGGGGCCCCTCGCTCCCTCCAATGCCAGAGAGGAAACAGAGGTCCAGTTTTACTCTACAAGTCCCTGTTTCTATAAAATGACCGAGAGAGACTGGGGAATCGGAGTGTCGGGGACTGAAGCAGTACCCATATCTTTGCTGCCATTGCCTCCCAAAGCTCCCATCCAATGTCACCAGGAGCGTGAAGAAAAAGAGTCCAGACTGCGCGACCGCTTGCTGATTAACAACTGCAAGCACATGGAAGTGCTTGTGCCTGCCATTTCTGCTGATTGCCTTTTCGGTCTTGGCCCCCTTGCTCCTTCCCTGTTCACTTATTCCCAAGGTCTCCATCTGAATCTGAAGAGGTACGGGGGTACTTGGTGACTTCCATCGAACCTAAGCTTTCCCATCGACAAAAGACGGGAAGGTGCACCTCCCAAGAAATATTTCATCCAGCCCTCCTCCCCTCGACCTTTCAACGAGAGCTCCATCCCCAGCTCTTTCCCTCCCATTTCTTTCCCCAGCTTTACCGGCTCTCCAGGTACATTTCACCCACGGGGAAACAGGAAGGTACCAATTTTCGACTGGAGTCTTCTTGACTGAAGAGTCTACCGTCCTCCTCTCTCCTGCCCATCCTCGTCGCAGTTCCTGCCGGTGGTCATAGCTACCCACCCCGGAACACACACCGCGGAGTACTTGCGCCTTTGTCACCACCAACCGGCGGCAATTCTCCCTCACCGAGAAAAAGAGCGAAACGACCCGACCGCAAACGCCAATCGCGAATTTACATCATCTTGCTGCCATTCTTTTGCCTCTGACGGCATTTATCGGGCCTATTCGCCTTCACCTACACAAAGCAAAAGGGAGGACACCTTGATCCCTCGGAAATCCAAACGACCACAACGTTTTACCTTGGACACACATATTCCACTTACACCACATAATCTTGCCCAACTCAACCGACGGCCCCTCGCGGCCTCTTCATCCCGCCCACCATGACGACGCCAACAAATAATCGCGATCGCGCCAATTCAGACGAAAATGAGAAGCATTCTCAGCATACGGACGATAGTCTCCAAACCGCAACTGATCCCAATTCTCAACCAACTCACCCCGAAAAGTTGACGAGACTAAACACCGACAACCACCTTCATATTCCCCAAGAGACGCATGGCGGACCAATGTCACCGCAAGACTCACGAGAACAAGCCTCACGCCTCAATGACGATTTGGAGTTGTTGCGCGCCGAGCGCCTCATCTCCAATCAAGAACATGAAATGTCCCAGCAGCGTTCTCGCCAGGGTAGGACCCGCGAGATGGAGCCCGAGGATGTCTTCGCTACCAACGGTCCAAACCCTGCCGATGCCGCTAAGCCGCCGCCCGAGAAGAAGGCCGGTGCCTTCGCCTTCGCATTGTGGAAGTGGCTGAGGAAGTTCCCACGTGTTTTCCGATACTTTGTCTATCTGATTCCCGGTGCCGCGCTCCTTCTCATTCCGGTTCTCATCGGTCACTTCGCCGTGGACGCCGAAAGCGCTACCGTTGGTGGTGCCTACGGCGTTTATCTCACTTGGTTCGGAATCTGGCTCGAGGTTGTCTGGTGCTCATTGTGGGCTACGCGTATGGTTACCAGCTTTATGCCCCTCACCTTTGGCGGTATTGCCATTGTCATGGGCTCTTCGAACCATAAGAAGTGGAGGGATATCGGCCAGGGTCTGGAGCTGCACACTGCCCTCTTCATGTGGATGCTCGCCATTCTTTGCTCTTACTCGCCCATACTCGAAGACCACCGCGTTCTTCCCGATGGGTTCAACCCGGACACCGACACAAAGCCGGATCTCAAATGGGTCGATATCGTCCAGAAGGTCATTATCGCTTTCTTGGTCCTGGCTGCTCTCAATTGGGTGGAGAAGATCTGCATCCAATGGATTGCCACATCTTTCCATCAGCGCACCTACGTCCAACGAATCGAGACGAACAAGAGCGATATCGACCATTTGGTCCACCTTTACGAGCACTCCAAGATGCGAATCAACCGCGAGGACTCTATATGGCTCACAACCGAGAACGGCAACAGGTCAGGCGCCCGTACCCCAATGGGTGTCGTCGGAAAGAATGTTCGCACTGCTTTCAACAAGGCCGGTGGCGTTGCGGCTCGTGTTGGAAACGACTTCATAGGACGAAAGGTCGCTTTCAACCATGCCCGCAAGATCACATACGAGATGTTGCGTAACACGGGTTCTGCTCATTCTCTTGCCCGCCTCATCTTCCGGAGTCTCGCCAAGGATGGTCAAGAGACCATCTACCTTGAAGACATGCAGTCCGCCTTCAAGACCAGTGAAGAGGCCGAACACGCCTTTAGCATTTTCGACAAGGATCTCAACGGTGATATCTCTATGGAAGAGATGGAACTCACTTGCAACGAAATTCATCTTGAGCGCAAGGCCATCGCTGCCTCGTTGAAGGATCTCGATTCCGTCATCAAAAAGCTTGACAAGGTCTTCCTCGTCATCATTGTCATTATCGCCATCATCGTCTTCATTTCCATTCTCTCAGGCTCTGCCGCTGCCGGTCTCGCCTCTGCCGGATCCAGTTTCCTCGGTCTCGCATGGCTGCTCCAGGCCAGCGCTCAAGAGTTCCTGCAGTCCATCATCTTCGTATTCGTCAAGCACCCATTCGATGTCGGTGACCGCGTCACTGTCTACGGCAACACTGGTACCACCGGAACTGGCGACGATTACTACGTTACGGAAATTTCCCTGCTGTACACCGAGTTCAAGAAGATGGAGGGTCACATTGTACAGGCACCCAACAGTGTGCTGAACACCCTTTTCATCCTCAACCAGCGCCGTTCTGCCGGTCTGGCCGATCCTATCGAGCTCAAGCTTGGTTTCGGCACCGATCCGGAGCTCATCGAGGAGCTCAAGTCTCGCATGCTCAACTTCTGCCTCGAACACAAGCGCGACTACCAGCCTCGCATTATTACTGAAGTCCGCACTCTTAATGAGGTTCAATCTTTCACCATGAACTTGATCTTCTTCCACAAGTCCAACTTCCAGAACGAACTGCTCCGTCTGCAAAGACACAACAAGTTTGCCGCCCAGCTTATGGCCGAGGTTCGCGCTGTTGGTCTCCAGGGCCCTTGGCAGGTGCAACCTGGTGGTTCCCGCAACACACCCTTTTACTGGGCAGGCGGCGCCCCTCCTTCGTACGACTCTTCCAAGAACGGCGGTCCCAGTGGCATCGAGCCCGCGACGCCTGGAGGCGACTCTCACTCCATTCATTCTACAACTCAGCCTACTACAGCGGGGACTGCGGTGGCCACTCGCGCTCGCGCCGATTCCCGCACTGGTATGACGCCTTTCATTGACAACAACTGGAGCGATTTCCAGGACGTGTTTGAGGCTCGCAGAGAGGTCCACCAGCCGCACGTCGCTCGCCTCCAGAGTATCCGCGAACGAACCGACCTCGAACGCCCAGAAAGCGCGACGTCAGGCGCCGCGGCTTCAAGAGCTAGTCACGACTCTGGATCTCAACGCCGACGCTTCTTTGGCCGACCGCGGAGTTCCAGCAGAGCCAAAACCGGCGACATTGTTTAGATCAAACGACAGACGATGAGATCCCTTTTTTTCCCAGCAGAACAAAAGTCCTTGCCTTTGCACCCAGGCTCGGGACACCTACACTCTTTTCATAATGCGATATTTGTAATCAGCGAAGCGAGAAAAGCGACCTAGAGAAGGAAAAGATAGAGAAGAGTTTGCATGATCACCTGTGCGTACGAAAGGATCTGGGTAGAACACCCGAGTATCTGTCGCAAGGTGTCGACGGAGTTTTATTTCACAGAGATTGGCATTAGGAGCGAAAAGACGCTTTCCTTTGGACAGACAGAAATCGGGGTAAAATACCCAAATAGAAGCCTCGATTCGTAATTCATCTTGCGTATACCCATTCCGCTCACTTGCTGTAGTTGACAGCTTTCGACTTGTCTTCAGTTGCTGATTGTGTCATCGTACGAACAGTGATTCTATCGTGTTCCCCCTTACTCGAGGTAATTCGCACCAACCCAACGCAGGTTTATCTTCTGATGTCAGGCAGGTTCTGCGTGGGCCACGCGACATAGTTCGAAAGGCGCGCCAGGCGCCGCCTCTTGTATGCTTCGCAATATTGGCCTTTCCCCCGTTCTTTGTCTCTTCAGCCGAAAAGCGCATGACCAGCGAGCACGTCCTCTTCTCCTGAGGAGATTGTCTACCAGGAGAGGTTCGTTCCGATGTGGACCGGTAAGTGGAGGTTGGAGAAAAGACTTTCAACGGCGCACCCCTCCACCAAAGTAATTCCCCTAGAAAAGTCCATACTGAGACATCAAGCTAAGGAAATAACGTCCTTCTCAGGACAATTCAGCAAATGTCTTTTGATATCATCTGAATCAAGGATACTGCGCCAGGATTCCGTTCACGTCCCGCTCCCTTCGGCACCCTCTTCCTCCCCCGGACTGCGATGCCGGGTTATCCGGAACAGGGCGCGGCGGCTTTCCCGGTAAAAGATGCACCCTCTGTTAGTGCCAAGGATACATCAATTTACCTTAATTTTAAAGGACCGGCTTTACTTGCCATTTCGAACAAGCCAAACCCGAGCTTGCGGATAAGGTTTTGGGTCCCTTTGGTCCCAAGTCTCAAGCTTGCTCCCTCGGTTAACCGGGAAAGTCGGCATGCTGGATGGATGTCGTATCCTAGGTACGTAAGCTATTCGTGAGGCAACTCCTAAGAAGACGTAGCTGGGCTTCGATATCTTCACCTAACCGTCTTTTCGCTTGGCATAGTATGCTCCTTGAACTGAAATAGACGTCACAAGGCTTCTTGCGGAGTTTTGGTGCACCACCGGATCATGATTTCCTTAATCAACATGAATCCCTGGGTTGTAAACTCAATTCTCAAGACAACAGTTGAAGCGGGGCCGTAATGGTACAAGTCCGGGATGGGAGGCCCGAAGAAGTCTAAAAGGGCAACTTTACATGGTCATTTACAGGGAATGGGCTGGTTCTATGCATACTCGCCAAGCATTATACGCTATATTTTCTAGAGGCATTGTTAGAATCTCAGGGTAAAATCGTGGACCAAGAAAGTCAACATGAAGATATCGGATCATCTGATCTCTATCCTAAATCGCCAAGACACGGAGCTCTACACAAAAATGGACGATTTAGTCACGAAGAAGAAGACCCTTTAGGGCAGGATCTTCTGAGTCCTGCTTGCAAACGGTTTCTCTTATTTAAGAAAAAGGTAAAGCGCAAGTCGACGATGGCCTCAAGTGGCTGTTGGCAAACTTACTAGCTGTCTCTGCCAGATCTTACCGGCCGTTCGTCCACTACACAAGGGCGACATTCCATTCGTTTCTCGCAGTCCCGCAACGCCCATCCCCCGACTCTCATCCCCGCGAAGGCATCACACGACGCCTTTCGTTCTTCCCACGCTCCCAATTCCGCAGAACATTTCCTCGCGTGCTACCGGAACCATGGCGAGGATACTCCTCGGACTAGCTGCCCTCCTCGCAGCAACGACAGCCACGTCCGCAACCTGCACCAACCCCTCGGTCCGCAAACCATGGACCGCCCTGACGGAAGACGAAAAGGCAAGCTACATAAACTCGACGCTCTGTCTAATGGACCCGTCGCAAGCGCCAGCCAAAGTCGGAAGCTGGGGCGCGACGAGCCGTTGGGAGGAGTTGGTTGTTGCGCATATTGCGCAGGTTCGGTATATTCACACAGTGGTACGTGCAAACACAACAACAAGTGTCTGGATACATGCCGTCGGACTGTTTGACTTCCGTCTTGAGAAGTGTGTGCTTGAAAATTGTTATTCAATGAGGCTAATCAGACCGAGTAACCGAAAAGGGCGCCTTGTTCCCCTGGCATAGATGGTACACCAAGATCCACGAAGACCTCCTCCGTAACGAATGCGGTTACACAGGTCCATACCCGTACGCCTGCCCTCCTCCCTGGTTCTCTCTCCGCAGGAATTCAGCACCCAACTCACACCTACTCCAGCTACTGGGACCAACAAACAGATCAATCCCTCTACCTCATCCAAAACGCTTCCGTCTGGGACACCGCATCCACAGTCAAAGCCTTCGGCACAGGTCGGACCGACGCATCCACAAACTGCATCCTCGACGGCGCCTTCACGGACTACCGCGTCCGCTTCAACACGCAACTTGAACGAGACGAGACAGAAGGAGGCGGCGTTTGTCTCACACGAGCCCTAAACCAGACGGCGTTCGATACCATTTCCCAAGCGAACGTCGTGGAGCCCTGTATGGCGCTTGACAAGGGTGATGATTACGGGGAGATGTTAGGGTGTCTTGGGAATACACCGCATAGTGGTGGGCATTTGGGCGTCGGTGGCATCGTGAGTTTTCTCTTTTCCTTTGGTCCATCTCCTGCTCTCCCAGCATCGAGCAGAACGAAAGGACTCTTCTCGGCAAAAAAAGTCATCGAATCCAATGCTGAATAACATCACAGATGCGCGACCACGCTCGCTCACCCGCTGACCCAATCTTCTACCTCCACCACACGAACTTCGACCGCCTCTGGTGGGAGTGGCAGACTTCCTCTCCCGGCAGGCTCTACGCGATGGGCGGCCCCAACGTCGCGGCGAACCAGATCTTTCTCGACGCGCAGCCAAAGATCCTGCCCGAGGACATGTTCCTCCCGTACTTTGGAGATGGAGGCAGCAACATCACGACGCTGGACCATATTTTGTGGATGCCTGGGTTGGCTAAGAATATCACCATAAGGGACACGATGGATGTGCGTGGGGATAAGATGTGTTTTGAATATGTTTGAACGGAGGTAATATCACCGTGATGATCGTCTTGGGATCGATGAGATTGTGATGTCAAAAAAGTCGAGGCCCGGAACTTGTGGAAAGGTATGCTGCCCTTATACATCTGCAACTCAGGGAGAGTAGAGCGGGGAGACCACTGGAACATCACCATGAAAGCAAGCTAACGAACGCTTTCGTTAACAGTTCAATGGGGAAATTTTGATATGATGCTTGACTTGAGGTCTATGATATACATGAGACCTTTGAAACAATACTATAAGGTCGCCACCAAAAGAGATATAAGGTTTGCTCGTCCGAAGGGCCGTTTGATGAACCGCTCCTCCCAGTATCTCGCATTGTTCCCAACCCTTCACTTCTACCTTATGATAAGCAGACTTCAAGCTCAACCTTGAGCCATACACGTCATAAAATCGATCCCATCCATATCGATACAGCAACAAATCGTCATATCATAGGGACAAGCTCCAAACAACAATGTTACCAACACAGTGTAGCAAAAGTACAGTTGCTTTCGATGACGACCTCGGAGTACGCAGGGTAAAGTACGTCAAAAGCGGAGGCAATGGCGGTGTTGTATTCGTCGTTGAATTTGGTGGCGTTGCACTCACTGCAGTGGATTCCCATACCGGGCTCCGGCCACTGTATCTCGTACCCAATGAAGCCCTTGAGCTCTCCAGTAGCCATGTCATATGCTGTGAGATTGAAAGTTGCCGGTAGGGTGAGGGTGTCGTCAGAGGTGTCATTGGCGAAGGGGGCTGGCCCATGATTGTAGACGAAGTAGCCATCAGAGCCTGGGACGGTACCAAGGTTCTTGAGTGCGTTGAAGAAGACAGGCAGAAAGTTGAGGGGAGTAGCGTTGGTGCCTTGGCAATGGGCCGTGACGGTCGAGTTGAGACGGTTCGAGAAAGGGTAAGGACTGCAATAGCCGTCTGTGGTGAAGAGGATGCTGCTCAGGAAATGGGCAATGGTGCCGTACCAGATGGCAGGGCGAGGGCTGACCTCGACCTTGACGCTAAGAGTTCTTCCTTCAGCTGAGGGCTTGTTGGTACCACCTGTTGAGGCGGTTCCGTTGTTCGTAGGAACCCAGACGCCAGGAAGTCTGGCCCAAGGAGTTGGACCGTTCTCAAGATGGTTGCAGATGAAAGCTGAGATGCAGGTAGAGTTGCCGGAAGCGCTCATACTGATAGGGCGTCCGCGATAGGTATAACACCAGAGGGTGGTACCGCCGTCCTTGGTGCTCATGGCCTTCCCGGCACGCAAGAGCTCTGGGGTGCCGTCTTCGATCCAGGCAGACCAGGTATCGCCGTTTGAAAAGGTTGCAGAGGCACCCTCGTAGTTCCAGGGATATTTGCCGTCATTATAGGGCATCTCGACAACCATGTCAGGAGGAGCAGGGTCGGTCTCGGCTGGAGTGGACCAGATGGCACCTTTATACCAGTTCATCTGGCGGGATGTGGACCAGGTTAGGTTCTCTGGGTTAGAGCCAATGCCGCAGTCAGCTAGAACCAGGTTCTGGTCAGCGTTGCTCGGGGCGAGGCGGTGCAGATTGAAAGGGTTCAGGGAAGATATGACCGTAAAGGCCTTGAGAGTGCGTGAGAAAGTCATCTTGCTGAGGGAAGAGAACCAAGGTAAAGACGGAAAATAGGACAGAACCAAGAAAGAGAGGATTGAAGTTTCGAGGTGATGAGGTTTCGGTCCAAGATTTGTGGTGCTGTTGAGGTGTTGAAGAAGAGACGGAGAAGAGAAGATGGAAGTGAGCAACAGGAAGTGTACCGCGTATGGCAGAGAAACTCTAGAAGAGCAGCTGGAAGGGGAAGGAGGGCCCAATGAGTTGAAACTTGTTCTTTCCGTCCATCAATGTTTGAGCCTTGGAGGTTCTTGCTATGGGAAAGAAGTAGACACAGTACCTGACACTTGGCGTGTAAGTAACCACGTTGTGACCGAGTGGTAACTCCCCTCAGAAACCAAGGACTCAGAGCAAGAGCAAGAAGGAAGGAAGGAAGGAGAAGCGGAGGTCAGAATTCCATTTGAGAAGCAACGGTGACAGTATCCTCGGCCCCTTCCTGGCACGATGTGTACAGTCTGTACATGGTGATGCTTCACTCGGGGATGGCAGACTTGAAGCTACGATGGCGCTTCCAGAAACTCGGCCGCCTGCAGCAGGATGGGCAGAGAAAAGGTGACAGCAACCGTTCTTCTCATGGCATTCTCAGAAAGAATTGAGACTATTACCTTATACATCCCCCTTTGAAAGCTCCCATGGTGACTCAGCCTTGGATCTGATTGGGAAGAAGGTGGTATTCGGGATGACCCTTTGGCTTCTGAACTGGAAACAGCGAGTGCACCTCATGCACTCCCAAATGATTCCTTGAAGCTTCGTGACACGTGGAATGCCGGGTAGTGCCTTGTTCCATCGGTCGGTTCATGGGATGGCATTCGCGACTGGAGCTTAAACAGGGATGGACCTTGACGACTGGGTGATGCCTCTCTCTCAAGCTACCATTGGCTGTCGAGGGAGGTCGGATCTTCAAGGCACTAAACAGGGTAACAATAATCATAGAAATCATTTCTTAATCCTCGTTTTTCCAGCTCCAAACACCATGAACTCTCAGAATCATCCTTTGATGCTGTCGTATTAGGCAGATATGTGAGTCGGAAGTTAGTAATCAAGGAGCCCGAGATGTAGAGGTCGAACAGGATGCACAGTCAGCAAACGTCGTTGTCCAATAGAACAGAGCAGATTGCCGGAGATCAGCCACCATCACCACACAGACCCTGCTGAAGCGGTCCGGGGGATGCTACCCAAGCACCGAAGACACCCCCGGGCAAGGCCCAATGGACCCCAAAGACCCCTAAAAATAAAGCCAAGCCGCATCGGGGGTGGAGTGACCTGCACCTTGTACCCCGTACCCTACAGGGAACTTGAAGGGAGCAAATAGTTCGTTGCCTGGGCTTCAATGTACTGCGGTACACTATCTGTAGCTGCCCGCTCCATTCCTCTCTCATCACACGCATCCTCGAACAGACAGACAGAGACAACGCCAACGCCCATGCAGCTCAGCCGCACTGCAGCTCAATCTAGTCTAGTCACCTATTCGCACCTCTCTGCCACCGTTTATTACCTTGCCCAGGTGCTATGCCATCGAAGCCATGTCGCAGAAAAACAACGCCTGGCGCCACGTTCTCTCCCCTTCTCCCCTTTCTCTCTCCCCGCGACCATGTCGTGTCGCCATCGCGAACAACCTTGACGCGGCTATGAACCTTCGTCATCCTGCTTGACGACTGGCTCTTCGAACCGCTATCCGCAACAACAACAACGAGATCCCCGCAGTAGGCTCACTATCAAATACTCCGAGAATCGGACCAAGCCCGTCCGAAACCACCCAACAGTGCTGTTGGTTGTGTCTGCCAATCAGATTGCGACTCTGCCCGAAGTCCCTCGAAGGGAACCCCTCCAGCTTCTCGAGGCTCTACGATCCCACATCTCCCCAGAGCGAGAACACTCGTCGCCTCGGGCATCATGGCGGCCCTCCCCTCCGGTTGGGAATGGGACTACGATGGCTCCCGCTGGTTCTACCGCTACAAGCCCAACGGCCATGTCCAATTTCACTTCCCAAAAGAGGGCGACGAGTTTCCAGACTTTGTCGATTGCTTTTCACCAGCCCCCGAGCTTGCCCCCGAGGAGAAGCTTGAGAGCCAACAACAGCTCAAAAGACGAACCACGACCGATGCCAATCCAACATCCAAGATGCGCGCTACTGGCGGACCCATGTCCGACTTTGGTATGAGTCGAAGTGGTTTTGGAGGACCCATGAGCAATGACGATGACGATAGCGACGGCTTCTTCTTCCAGCCCGAGAACTTCATGTACCTTGGCCCCGGCGCTTACGACGACATCAGTCCGGAAGCTGACGAGGACGATCGCGAGGAGGCATTGGGTAGGCCGAATGCTGGTGAAAGCGGCGAAGGCAGCAGTACCAAGAACCATGCGATGCTCGATGTTGCCAGTATGAAGTCGGGCGTATCGCCGCTACAAAGCGAGACCAATACACCCTCTATCATCAACAGTGTCCCTGTGCAAGGGGCTGAAGCTACGTCCGAGGCACGGGCAGAGACGACTACTGCAGAGCAGCCTCTCAACGTCAACACTAATACCAGCCCGGATCCCAGCCAGGCCCTCCCACCCTCTCCTGGCGTTCCGCTTCTCGATTCAGTTGAAAAGCCTCGGCCTGGATTCTCAGCCAATGTCTACAGTCCGCCATGGGACCCAGTGGGTACCATGGCCGAAATGGCAACGGAGCACACGGCGCCAGCTCACATCGAAACCCACCCTGACCCGGTTGAGATGGCCGACACAGCAGTGCTAGCACCCATCGAGACGAATTTCGCCGACCTGGGTATTGCCGAGTTACCAGAGCGGACGAGTCCGGCGGAGGCAAAGCCGCCATCTGCTCAGTCTACCCACGATTTGCTGCATCAGACGAACATGAGTGATGCAGCCCTCTACGGCGCTACTTTTGGAACCGGATCTAGGCCGCAAAATTCATCACCCTCTCGGAGATCTACAGCATCTCAGGGACCTCGACGCGATTTAGGTACAGGGATCACAACTCCTGATCACTCTCTGCCAGAGGTGGTGCCTCCGCCGGCGCCGCAACCAACGCAAAGCCCCTCACCAACTCCGAGCGGAAGTGGTCCTTTCAACATCAAAAGAAAGCCTTCCAAGTCGGCGGGCAAGCAGACTCAATACCACCCCTATGTACCCGGAGCAGTCAGCAGCATAGCTACAGAGCAATCGAGCACGACTGACTACAAACCCCGAGAACATCGTAATTCCCTTACTCGGGATGGGTCCCTAATGATGGGCCCACGAAACAAGTTCGACCAGACAAGTATGCCCTCTGTTCTCAAGCCTCCTCAGCTGCCGCCCAAAGTTACCATGGACTCGTCTCAAACCCCAAGCCCTCCCGCCAATCACCCAAGAGCCCCCGGCACAGCC